CGGCGCTTAGTATACTTCCCAAAACACCACTAGATCTTTGAGCGATTGCAGCGCTAGCGGCCTGTGCAGTGTCTATAGCGCCTTTATTCACCAGGGAAGCGAAAAGATCATCGACATCACTGGTATTGAACTCATCATCATCCACAAGGTCCGTATTGGAGTTGGCAAGAGAGTGCAGGCTTCCCAGGTTTTTCACGTAAGGCAAAGAGATGTTAGACGAACTATTCCTAAGGATATTGGTTTTGCTCGTGATGTTGGACAATGACACGGGCGCACCTCTTCTACTTCCCAAAATCCCACTTCTATTTGAGACACTGAACTTTGGTGCTTCAATATCAAATTCATCATCAGAATCGTGCTCGTCAATGCAACCAACTTTGATACCCAAGATTTCAAGCATAGATGCGGTCGTTCCACCAAAGAAAATGACAGTGAGTACAACCACCACAAGCACCGTGGCTAAAAGAGTCCACTTAGCTTCGCCCAAGATTCCCAACGCTAGAGCGACACCAACTGCACCTCTAAGTCCAGCCCAGAAGATCATCATTTGATATGAGTGACTAATTTCCTCTGGAATAGCTTGAGAAGAAATACCACCACTCATGAGGTTACTGCGACTAAACTTTTCGAACTTTGCTCTGAACAAGAAATTCAAGAACTTTGATAATGGGAAGACAGCACACCATCTTGCAATGCAAATCAGGACGAAAGTGACGATAATCAATAATGGTTTGAATACCAATGCCACCTCAGTAAATAAAGATAATCCCAAGTAAATAAATATGAAATTCTCAGATAATTGAGCCAACAATTGGAAAACGTATTTAGTTGCAATCTGAGTTCTTCTTGACATATTGAAGTAAGCATAATGCTTCAAAGTTATGCCGCAGAATAACAATGAAACGATTCCAGACATGTGTGCACCATTTGAAAAGAAATAGGATTGGTATGCGAAAAGCAAAACCAAGCACGTCTCGATCTGGGGATATCTTCTGATATGCGAATGTTTGAGGATTAAAGCAACTAAAATTCCAACAGATATTCCAATAATAGTTGAGATGGTGAATGTCATCAAGAACAAGCCGATACCTTCAAAGACACTAGAAAATTGGAGTTGTTTTCCATGGAATTGTTGACAAGTTTCAAACATAACAATAGAAATTGCATCATTCAACAAAGACTCTCCAAAAATGATAGTGTAAAGTTTTGGATCAACTTTATATGCGTTGAAAATGGACAAAATCGTGACGGGATCTGTTGCTGAGAGAGTTGCTCCAACTGCCAATGCATCAACAAATTCCAACTTCACGCCATCAAAACCTAAAGAGGTCCATAAATATAAAATCGTTCCGAGAACAAGGGCGGAAATAAAGGTACCGGGAATGGCGAACATTAAGATTGATCCAATGTTATTGAAGAAGTTTGCCTGATGAAGTTCATAGCCCGAATTCAAGATGATGGGGGGCAAAAGAATATTAAAGAAGTAACCTGATTTAAATTTCACGGTGTCTTGGATGTAATGACCTGGAGCTACACGGATGATTAATCCCACTATCATTCCGTAGAAAATTGATAACACAGTTTCATGGACAGCTTTAATTCTTCTTTGTTGGAGATAATAAGAGGACCATAATGCTGCACACAAAAGTGACAAGAGAATAAAGAGGGCCCAGGACGAAAAGACCTCCTCGGCGACTGGGTCAGCACTTTCCTCTGGATCTGGAGTAGCGTCCGGAAAGTCTTCATCATCCAAAGGAATCGCCCGTTTAATTAAGAATCTCACCCCCTTTGATAGCATTCGCTTACCTAAATAGGATGCTATTGCTTCCATTCTTGAATGAAGTGGAGTATGTTTTGAGGACTATGCAGTGAACTTCGCTCTCGAAAGAATAGTAAGAAAGGGATAAATGGCTTAGCAATCGGAACAGTCAAACACAATTGGATGGATCGTGTATGCTAGTATTGTGGCGGTGATGAAGATTCACTTAAAATCACTTTTATTTCGACTCGCGTGAACTTCAGTAGCTGTATGGATGATATTTTGTTGATCTGATAGTTTATGCAGTATACTTAAAGCTAGGAGATTGATGAAAACGTACATGGAGTGCTTTCCTACAAATGCATAAAAAATGAAGGGATGATAACAGCCTAATCCTAGTTAAAAGACGGAAAGTGCAACTATTATTAAAAAATGGAAGAAATAGATTTGGGTTTCTGATAAACCAAACGCAAGGCTCGGAGTTCCTTCCTCCATTTAAAAATTCTCCACAATATTGAACACATAACGCAAAATGAACCTTGAAGAAAAATTATTTTTATCGTTAGTTCAATAGACAGATAATGATATTAACTACTCTGCTTTAAAAGAAGGAGTTTGATAAGCTCGTCATTTATTATTATAATTTGGTTGTCACCCAAAACGAAGAAGTCTTCGGGTTTTCTAAAAGGTTCAATAGTGTAAAAAATTCAATTAACAAGATAAAAGGTCAAACTGCACTTGAATATTCAGGCAGAAGAATCTAAGGCTTTTTGTCAGAAAACTCATGACAGGCAGGTACCATGCTGGATGAAATTAGAAAAGGAATTAGATTGCATACAAGGCAGCACGCTATCCGTTTGTTATTGTTAAGTTTCTTTTTTTTTTTGCGATTCTATAGCGCATCGTTAATATTAGATACACATTTTTATGGGCTCGACCCGCATTTGTTTTCCATACTTTCATCCTTTCATCCTTATCCTTTCCCCTAGTCTTTTGACTTATCCGTTCGCTATTCTTTTTTAACTTCAATCAATATAAGGATGTTGAGTGTGAATTCAAGTGTGGATGATATCCACAACTATCCATATCCGCAGCGAACATCGCAAATGAATCCTAATCTGTCATCGGTGAACATTTCCCAGCTCAACCATCCCAAAGCTGTCAAGCCCCACTTCCTCGGACAATTTTCACCACTTACGCCGCCCTCTTCAAATGCTACTACTCCAGTTTGTGAGAAAAGCAATGCTCACTTTTTTGCTCCTATAAGCTCTCAAGCGAGGTCAAGTCCTACAAGTGATGCCGACAAACTCTCCAAATGGTTGCCAGTAGTTGACTTTGAGGTTGTCACATTGTGCACTTTCTGGTACGCATTTTCCATAGTATCAGCCAATTCTACAAAGGCAATCTTGTCTCGTTTTAAATATCCGGTTACATTGACACAGTTCCAGTTCTTGACAAATGCATCTCTTTGCATCCTCCTTTTCGCGGCATTATCACATTATCCTAAACTCTCCTCTCGCTTTCCTCAGGGGGCAGTTCCCCAGATGCATACGCTTGATTACTCGATCATCAAGTTCATCAAACCTACTGGCTACATCGTATCGACCACATTGCCAATGGGAATATTTCAGTTCATGGGTCACATTACGAGTCATAAGGCCACTTCAGTCATCCCTGTGTCGTTAGTCCACACTATTAAGGCGCTTTCTCCAATCACAACGGTTATGATCTACAGAATAGTGTACAAAGCAAAGTATCTGTGGGTGACGTATGTCACATTAATTCCATTGATGTTAGGAATAATGCTCACATGCTACAAGCCAAGAAAAGCCTCTTCTGCAAATGATCATTATTTCAGTGGTTTGGCCCATGCCTTCATTTCAATGTTCATTTTTGTTTCTCAGAATATCTTCGCCAAGAAAAGATTAACATATAAGAGCGATGAGTCGAGAGAGGCTCTTCCTACTTACAAGGGTAAACCCGAACAGAAGTTGGACAAATTGACAATTTTGCTCTTCTGTTCTGTCATTGGTTTTGTCTTCACAATTCCCATTTACACCATACTGGAGTTCCAAAATGAAAACTTCTCGTTGTTTCAAATGAACTGGTCCTTGTTCTTCTTGGTCGTTCTCAATGGAACTTCCCATTTTATGCAATCTTTGCTAGCATTCATGCTTCTCGGATCTATTTCTCCCATCAATTACTCAATTGCGAACATTATGAAACGAGTCGCGGTCATTTTGTTTGCATTTGTATGGGAAAGCACATTTTCCTTCTCTGGTACTCAAGGTTATGGAGTTTTGCTTACAATTATTGGTTTGTACTGCTACGATAAATGGGGCGGAGTATCCAAGGAGAAACATAGCAGATCTTAATCTAGATAGCTTAATATAATTAATGTCCACTGCCATCAGTGTTCAACATCTTCTTAAAAATGTCACCAAAGGCAACCATAAAGACGGTTTGCCAAACACCCAAACCAATTCTTGGGGCAACTCCTCTATACAAACCCTTAATACCATTATTAGAGTAGATGTATTTGGCTGTTGAGAGCACGCCCAAGTTTTTAGGCCTATTAGGATCGTTAGTCTTGGATTGCATTTCCACTCTGATGACTTCAATTGGCTGGTTCCAGGCAGACAAACCACCACCGACAACCGAAGCAGCAATCTTCTCAACAGCGTTCAATTTTTCTTCCTTATTCTTGTTGGTGAGCTTTCTAATGGCCTCCTCAGCCAATCTAGAGAAACCAAATCTAGAACCCCAATTTGTCATTTGTCTGATTGCCACAGCATTGACACCCTTATTAATTCCTCTAATTCCTTCTTTACGGTAAATGTCCTTGAACACTTGAAAAGAAGTTTGTTGCGGGACACCGGGCACAGCAGCTTGCTTTGCTCTAGTGATTTCAACAGTCTTCATGCATGTGCAAAATCCCATAGTAAGGTAAGCTTGGGCCAAACCACCAGAAACACCTCCACCCATACCGGCCAAAAAGTTGCTTGCACCCATAGTTTTAAAGACGTACTCAGCTTCAGCTGAAACAAACAACAAAACAGCACCTTTAGTAGAAGCCTCGATCCACGCCCAAGGAATCAAACCTTGGTAAAAACCAAAGAGACCACCACGGGACCAGACAAGTTTTCCAGCCTGAAGCAAGGACAATGATCTGTTGGCAGCCATCGTAGTTTTAATCACCTCTAAAGGCTGGCCCAATGTGGTCACTTCTGCCATGTTTAAACCAGCACCCAAAAGGATGTTAGAAAAACTGATTGGCTTCTTTTCAATCTTTGGCGGGGACAAATCTGTAGCAGTGGCCATTGTTCTCTATAAAGATAAAGGGTAGAGCGCAAAACGTTGAGCAGGTGAGTATAGCGTGTCGGCGCGTTATCGGGCCCGGGACTGCATTAGGAGTTCTCCCCAGATCCCGGGAGAGAAGAAAAGTAACCCAGGACGAAAAAAATCAACATGTAATCGTCAGTGAGAAGTTAAGTGAGAAGTATGGCGAACTTTTACCTTGAGGCGTAATTGTTCACAGGGATTGAAAAATGGCGCTACATGTATCCTCTAATCTCGTCACATGGTCAGAAACGAAGCCACAGACTAGAACATAAATCGCTTCGCATTTTCCTTCTACCGGGTGGAAAACTACAACAGGTTGTTGGCCGTGAGTACATTTAGATCAAAACAGAGATGTCGTGGCTGACTTAAATGTTAGGAGAAAAAGCTGAGGCACATCGTACCCACCTGCAAGTTAGAAGTCTATAATACGGCTGAAGACTGCATTGTACCAGGGACCACGGTTGAAGCATGTCGACACATGCGCCAATGGGATACGAGCGAAAAAAAAAAAAAAAACTGTCGACTTGTTTTAAATCTCGAAATGATGCCATAAATTGTATTAGCGGGCAACTTTAATGTTATGCTCCCCTTATGTGAGTATAATGTAGCTTAGTAAGCACTGTTGGTCTAGAGGTGGATACCAAACCATAGAGACAATGAAATAAGCGAACTGCGAATGAAGCTCATTTTATCTTGACTGAAGTGACAGAATAAAGGAGCAAGGGATTAATGAAGCGTTCTATAGACCTGTCTTTTGCCTGATTTACTTGGCAAGGTGCGCCCATATGCCAAATATTGGGACTGCGCGAACAATTTGTTGAGCAATTCGTTTCAGCATCCAACGAAGAGTTTCCACGGTTTCGGAAGTCGCATACAAAAGAACCGATTCTCTACAGTAGACACATGTCATTATTCCTTTTCTTTTCAATTTTCGTAGCTAGATATGAAACATATCTTATCAACATACGCCTCGGAAAAAGCAATCAGCCCAATACCATGAGCTCTTGACCAGAACCCCTTTGTGTGCACTCTCCCAAGTGCTTTCTTTTTTTTTTTTGAATTCTTTTTTCTGTTCTCGCATCTTTATAAGGGAAACCGTTTCGCACCCGCTACCAAGAGCGTGTTCTTCTTTCCGAAATGGCCCAAGTCACTTCCTTCTCCACTGGAAACAGTGAATCTTCCTCCACTTCTACTACAATCAAGAAAAAGGGCAATGTGGCCACTTTGACATCTGGCTTGACCGCCACTAACACTTATGGTGAGGAGTTCCAAGTTCCAGACTACACCATCAAGGATATTCTCTCCGCCATCCCATCCCAATGTTACGAAAGACGTGCCTTGGAGTCCTTATACTACGTTTTTAGAGACATTGCTTGCATGGTTGCCATTGGCTATGTGGCCAACAACTACATTCAGTTTTTGCCCAACAAGGCTTTGAGATTTACCGCCTGGGCTTTGTACTCATACGTCCAAGGTCTTTTTGGCACAGGTATCTGGGTTTTGGCGCACGAGTGTGGTCACCAGGCCTTTTCTGACTACGGATGGCTTAACGACCTGGTCGGTTGGGTCTTGCACTCATACTGGCTTGTTCCTTACTTCTCGTGGAAGTTCTCCCACGGCAAGCATCACAAGGCTACTGGCCACATGGATAGAGACATGGTGTTTGTTCCAAAGACTAGAGATGGCTTTGTTGAATCTAGACACGCCCACACTTTGGAAGAAATCGTCGCTGACTCGCCTCTTGCAACCTTTATTGGCTTGTTGTCCCAGCAATTGGGTGGCTGGCTTATGTACCTTGCTACAAATGTCACTGGTCAACCTGTTGCTGAGTCTGGCTGGGGAATGAGTCACTTCAACCCTAGTTCTGCCATTTTCGAAACGAAGGACTACTGGTATATCGTCTTGTCTGATATTGGCCTCTTGATTCAAGGTTTGGTCTTGTACACATGGTACCAGAAGTTTGGCGCCTTCAACTTGCTCGTTAACTGGTTGATTCCTTACATTGGCGTGAACCACTGGCTTGTGTTCATTACCTTCTTGCAACACTCTGATCCTAAAATGCCACATTACGAGGCTTCCGAATGGAACTTTGCTAGAGGTGCAGCTGCTACTATGGACAGAGAATTCGGCTTTGTTGGTAAGCATATTTTCCACGACATCATCGAAACTCATGTCTTGCACCACTACTGCTCCCGGATTCCATTTTACAATGCTCGCGAGGCAACAGAAGCGATCAAGAAGGTTATGGGTAAACATTACCAATACAGTGATGAGAATATGTGGGTTTCCTTGTGGAAGTCTGGCAGATGGTGTCAGTTTGTTGAAGGTGACAATGGTGTTTTGATGTTTAGAAACATCAACGGAAATGGAGTCGCCCCTAAGAAGACTCAATAGATATAAAAATTTCCTCTCTTTATATTTAGATAAATGGTATCCTAACTGGCGTGTTTTTCTTGTATGCTTCGTATTCCTCTCCAAAGAAGGAGATTAAATACTCTTCCTCATAAGCAATTCTTTGTGAGAAGAAGCGAGATAACTTATAAGCACCGGCAACGCCAACAAACCAATTCCCTAACATGACCTGTGATCCAATAAACCACCAAAAGTAGCCGAAATAGCTCGGATGCCGAGAGTAGCTGTAGATACCTGTGGTGATTAATTTATGCTTACTACTTTTCTCTCGTTGAACGTAATGGTTGAATGACGTCCCCGCTGTGTACATAGCCAACGTTCGGCAAATCTGACCAGTCATAATCATCACAAGCCCAAGGAATAACGACCACCGACGATGGGGTAAATAAATGTGCACAAAAAATGTTTCAATAACAGACAACACATATACCAAATAAAGGTCGGTATCACCTAGAATAAATGAATCATCTTCCACTTCTGATGTGTTGAAAATCGCCGTACTTAAAAACTCCAAGAAATGAAATATGCATTGGACCAAAGTGTATAGGGCGACTTTTGGACCACTGGTGTTCACATTAGAAGAACAGCATAAAACAGCAATGCATGCCAGTGAAGCACTACCCAAACAGAATGCTTTGAGGGCTACCACATGAGGCCGAATCTTGTTTGGCTTGTAACTATATGACATGGCGTAGGAAAAGAGAGCATGTCCGATATTTCGCGTTTTGGATCTAGCTCTGAAGAATCAGTACCAGATTGCTATGAGCTTAGTCCAGAACCAAATCTTGCTTCTTAGTTTTGCTGCGGTTGTTTCTTTGTTCGGTTTCTTTACTTCTCATCATGTTCCGCTTTCTGCTTATCTACTAATATGGGCCATCTTCCATTCCTGTGAGTACCTTTGTACGGCTATGTATCTGAGGCGAACCTTGACTCCATACTCTTTCTTGGTATACGGCGCCACAGGATCTACCCACTTGATGGCCGTTCATCTTTTAAGTATCATGGAGCATATTGTCACTTCTCGGAGATGGGGAAACCATGGTCAAGTTTTCATGGGCATACCTGTGTCTTTAGCTGGCATAGCCATTCGAGATCTAGCCATCAAAAGTTGCGGCGACTCTTTTTCCCACTATATAGAAACACAGGGAACTCACCGTTTGGTGACAAACGGAATCTACTCTTTCTGCCGGCATCCTAGCTACTTGGGATTCCTCATCTACGTGTTAGGGATGCAAATGATCTTGGGCAATAAGATAATGCTAGTTTTTAGCGTCAGTGTATTAGCTTGGTTTTTCTTCAAGAGGATTCGCTTGGAGGAGTGGTTTCTAGTCCACAGAATCTTCGGAGAAGCGTATGTCCGATATCAACAGGAAGTACCTGCCCTAATACCCGGTATTTACTAATTCAGACACAGAATCACAAGCTCTTGTTCATAAATCTTCTCCTAGTGAAAGCCAACCAGTACTTACTAGGGACATTTTCATTTTCGGCGTAAATGCGTTTCAACAAACGGTCAGCCAATTCCTGACGGAATTGTTGCAAGTAACCCCTCAATAATTCTGCATCGTTTCTAGTGGCTGGAGGCTGATAGAGCGCATTCAATGGAAAGCCAATGTCACCAGGTAAAGCAAACGAGTCAAGGGCCAAGTTATTTAGCACACGAACAGCCTCTTTGTGGTTCATTCTAGAATTCAATTTAGACAAACAGTCGCTCACAAACAAAATGCCATAAATGAGCAATCTATCAGCGGCACCCTTGATGTCGAAGTTCTTGAAAAATGAGTTGGCTCTGAACAAGTCAAGCACCTCCTCGACAATGTCGTATTCACTGGTCGGAGGATAAGAAGGTCCTCTATATTGTGTGTGGATGGGCAACAAGACAACATTGCCCACAATTCTTTCAGAGTCCTCACTGAGAAAAGTGGAATGGAAGGCTGGCATTATGCTTTAAAGAACGAAAGAGCGGGTCAAAATGTTGATAGGAGAGTATCGAGGCTGTGTACAGGTCTTTCCGTGGTCTCTTGTCCTGGCACTAAGTGAGAGGACAGAAAACTAAAAATATGACCGTGAGGAATATTCCAATAACCAATTCTTCAAAAAAAACCAACAGAAAAGCATCAAACAATTGACCAAAGTGTTTCTCTTGACTCTGCGATCTCTGTCATGTAAATACGAATATCTCTTTCGTAGTTCCAATTCTAGCACTTTCGAAATACGGAACCTACGGCTGTTTGCGCGCCCGGCTGTGCCTCAATCATCAGGAGCCCCGAAACAGTATTTTTCGCTGTCACATATGTGTTAAAACACTCTCAAATAAGATACATGCGGAAATTTAACTGATGTTGATGCTTGGTAGCTTGATATATGGTTTAAGTACCATGAATTATTGTAGTGCAACGATTACAAGGCTGTAAAGTAAATCAGGGGCTGAATGTGCTAATTGGCAATGAAAGCGATTGCAAGCCCCGTTTCATATCTGCTGGTCTACCTATATTCGTTTTGCCGTCTCGGAAGACTTTTTTCAAACTCATTTCTCTCCCTCACCTCCAAATCCATTCATATGGGCAACGTCCGGCACACAGGAAACTTCCCTTTTGAATTTCATTCACAATTCCAACTTCAGCACAGTTTTTTCCAGAAATAGCAGTCTTTAAAATCGAACCTCAACAGGTAAGATTATCAGGCCAACTGTGCGATTCCCTATTATTTGCTTCATTCACTGCATCAACATTGGTGATTCAGATTGCTGGTCAACGTTTGCTCTTTAAGTTGGCCGTTTTCCTCTTCATTAGGGCCATCTTTCCAACGGAAGACCGGAACACCTTTCTTCTACTGGCATAGACCATTCTCTCTACGAGGGAAACATTATTGCTCTACGCTGGTGAGGTCTTTTTTTGGTTGCCTGAGAAGCCTCGTTTCTCATTTTATTTGGTCAACTATTCAACGCCAGTAACGTCCCTGTTGCGGCGAAGTTGTTCTTTTTTTACAGCATCAAACACTAATTCCTGCTTACTGAGACCAGCATCCAATGTCATACTCTCATTCTAGCCGGTCTGAGCAACTGGGGCTTCCAGAGTATCTAATACCAAAAGCGATGTTGGATACTCGTGACAGGTTCGATGCAAATAATAAAGCACACCACTTCAAGGAGCGGCCCCATATTCAGACTGATTTGGCACCTTCTCATGTGTTTCAATCAAATAATAGCCCTGCAAAGTCCGCTCTGCTGTTAACATATGAATCTGCCCTGGTCCCTTTCATGCAGAGTCAATCACCGTCTTTCGAGAAACAACCAGAAAAAATACCCCCATATCCTGTTGCACCCGCTTTTCCTAGCACAGACAGTCTTGGTGAACCTTACCAAGAACGTCGCCGAGCAGAAACAGAGCCAAGAAACGATTATCAACAGACTCTTGCCCCTCAGAAGGTGCATCATTCCCAAAACCAAGGCACGAATTACTTACCGGACCAATTCCACGCCCATAAGTCTCAACATGAGTCTCGCCAAGGTCGTCCTAACTATGCGGCACAACCTTCGTATCCTTCAAATCCTGGGCCCCCGAAATCATATTCGTCAACAGCCGAGAGAACGCAACAGGGTCATTACACAACTTCTAACCAGCCGTATGGTGCTCAGAATGGATCACAGTACAGTTCACAACATGGCGCAGGATTGCTGTACCAACAGTCTCAGCAGCATCAGGCGAGCCAGTACGGATCTCAATATGCTTCCCAAACCAGATCTCAGTACACAGGGCCACAGCATATACCCCAACAACCTCTTCCAAATATGCAACCTCACCCTGCCCAAGGATCACACCCTGCTCCCAATTCTGGAAATCCATACGGACAACAGTGGGGACATGGAAACCAACTTGCAACACCGCATATGGCCCAACACGGAGCTCAATATGGATCGGCCGCGCATCATGCCAGGAGAAAGCCTCCTGGTAGTACTTTGGGAACTGATCTTCCCGAAGGCAGAAGAGTGGTGACCTCTCCAAATATGTCAAATGCAAATGGGTTTGGGCAACCCTCTCCCAAGAAAGAAGTACTGTCCCGAACAAAGTCCTTGTCTTCGAACTCCTTGAAACAGAACCTGATATCTAGTAACACTGGACCCACATCGAGTCCAAGAACAAATATGTCGGGGAATAGCCCATACTTTTTCCTTGTCATCTAAATCCCGATCCTTTAGTTCTCTCGGAAAATTGTCGTCATTGTCAACCAAAAAATTCTCAAGCACTACATCGTTGAAGAATGACCGAGCTGTTTCCAGCTCAACAATGTCTTCCCAAAAGACTTTGGCGCATAAACACTCACATAAACCTGCTATTTATCCTGCAATTTTGTCAAGAGTTGCAAAGGCGTTCAAGGAGTCGTTAGTCTTGGGTATCAATATGAAAGATGGATTGGAATACCATGACTCTTTCACAGGAAAAGAAGCTGTTGATGCCATTTGTCACATCATTAGGACGAATGATAGAAATTTAGCTTTGTTATTGGGTAGATCATTGGACGCCCAAAAGTTCTACCATGATGTTACCTACAACCATCGTTTGCGTGATTCACCAAACGAAGTGTACACATTTAGTAGAATATTCAGTGAAATGGAGTTCTTTCCTGATGATTCGAATAATCTTGGTACAGGTAACAATTCACTGCGTGGATCTTTTGTTGGAAATCCATCGAATACTACAAACGCTCCATATCCAGTTTCGCAACTTCCAGGTGTTCCAGGTAGTCCAGCGGAGGGTTCGACTGGTAGCTTCACCAACTTGAACCGGTTAAACGAAAAGGATTCGCAAGAGCTGACAGGTGTCAATGGTGTGTTTACAATTTTGACTGACTGCTACTCACCAACTTGTAACCGGAATAGACTATGCTACTCGATTGCTTGTCCTCGCAGATTAGAACAACAAGCTAGACTCAACATGAAACCCAGAGGCGGCTTGAAAAGGGCCGTTTCGAGATTATCCTTACATGATACAGAAAAAGTCAAAACTTTGTGGCATGAAACAGTGGACAAGTCTGTTTTAGATAAACTTGAGAAGCACGAAAAGATGAGGCAGGAATTAATCTACGAACTCATTTACACAGAAAGGGATTACGTCAAGGATTTGGAGTTTATGACCGATTTCTACATCATGCCTTTGAGAAATCCAGCCAATAACATCATACCTGAGCGGGAAAGAGAAGCTTTCATCAGAACTGTTTTTGGAGGTGTGAGTGATCTTTTGCGCTTAGCTAGGAATTTGAGCGAGGCTCTAACTGCTCGTCAACAGCAGCAGAAACCTGTCGTTGAATGCATTGGAGATGTTATTTTACAATACATTGGTGGATTTGAGCCATTCATCAAATATTCTGGAAACAAAGTTTTTGCTAGTTTTGAGCATGAAAGACAGCAACAGGTCAATATGAAATATGCCAGGTTCCTAGAGGCCATCGAAAAGAAGCCCGAGTCTAGAAAGCAAGATTTGTCATCATTTTTGATCAAGGGGGTGCAACGGCCAGCCAGGTACCAATTGCTTATTGCAGGAATCTTGAAGAATACAAAGGAAACATCGCCTGACTATAAGAACCTCCTCAAAGCGAAGGAAGAAATCGAAAAGGTCTTAGTTGAAATCAATGTTCAAACCGGTGAAAGTACAGACAGACATAAAATTATGGTTTTGCACAGGCTCTTGGGGAAGCAGACGTTGGAGGAAAGATACAACTTCAAGTTAAACTACAACAATCGCATCATTTACCAGGTGACTCTAAACAGGAAGAGAGACAATGAAAAGATTGACGTCTATCTTTTTGAACATGCGTTGTTGATGGTGAAGCACAAAGTTCAGAACAAGAGAGAAGTGCATAAAGTTTTTGAGAAACCCATGTACTTGCCATTGCTTTTTATCAATAGCGGTTATGAGTCACCTACTTTCAAGACCATTCTTCAGTACCGCCATGACTGCTCAATTGTCTCCGACACCGGGTCGAAAAGGAGATTGGAGACTTCACCATACAATCCTGTCTCCTCTTCTCAGCAGAAATTACAAGTCAATTTTCTTGGCTTGGGTAACAACCCGGTCCATGTCTCCTTGTTTGCAGATGATGTTACGAACCAAAACCAACTTTTACTGCAAGTTCAACAACAACAACTAAAGTTAATCTCAAAGCATGACATTTTCTCGCTTTGCAAGTATGAAACAAGAAGGTTTACGGGAAATAACCGGATAAATTGTGGAGTGCCTTGCTATGGTGGAAAAAAGTTACTATATGGTACTGATGGTGGCGTGTGGGTGTCAACGGTCAGATCCATTAGTGCCACTTCCAACGAGAGAATCTGCTCGGATCCAACTATGGTTATAAGTAAACCATATGTGACGCAAATGGAAGTATTAGTGGAGTACTCGAAAATTTTGGTCTTATCGGACAAAACTTTATATGAGTTTGATCTTTCGTGTACCGATTCGCTTGATCACGCCAAAAACACTAGAAGTGGTAAAGTTATTTTGAGCCATGTCTCCTCTTTCAAAACGGGTGTGTGTGAGGGCAGATTGCTTGTTTGCGCTGTAAAGAGCGGAAATACTAGGGCCATCAGTATTGTGGAGCCAGCTAATCCGTTCGATAAGAACAAGAACAAATACAAAAGAATGGATGTTCGTGAAGTTAGCTTTAGTTCAGAGCCAGTGTCCATCTCATTTTTGAAGACAAAGTTGTGTATTGGTTGCACCAAGGGATTTGAGATTCTTTCTCTTGAAGGAGGCGAAAAAGAGCCGATTTTAGACGAAGCGGACCCTTCATTGGATTTTGCTACGCAGAGGGAAAGTGTAACACCTCTTGCAATCCACCGTCTTGACAAGAACTTTTTGTTGAGTTACAGTGAGTTTTCATTTTTAATCAATAAAAACGGTTGGCGAACCAAGCATGACTGGGGTATATTTTGGGAAGGATCACCACAGAATATTGCATTGTTCTATCCATACCTTTTGGCTTTTGATCCCGGTTTCATTGAAATCAGAGACCTTGAAAGTTGTTCATTGATCCGCGCTTTGGTCGGAGAAAACATTCGTTTTTTGCATTCTAATGATCACGATGTATTATATGCTTGCGA